ACTAATAACTCCAAGCAAAGCCACCCTTTATTTTAAAATTTTAAAAAAATGTTAGGGGTACCTGGGTGGCTCAGTGGGTTAAAGCCTCTGCCTTAGGCTCAGGTCATGATACCAGGGTCCTGGGATGGAGCCCCATCTCTGCTCAGCAGGGAGCCTGCTTCCCTTCCTCTCTCTCTCTGGCCTCTCTGCCTACTTGTGATCTCTGTCAAATAAATAAATAAAATCTTTAAAAATAAATAAATAAAAATTAAAAAATATTAATGTATTGTTGAATGTGATACCAATGTTTTAACTTACCAGGAGGGGAGGAAAGAAGTTTAATACTGGTATAACTGAACAACTGAGCCAAACTTTTTGATGCCAACCCAAATAAAAAGCAAAATGTACTGGCCAAGATGTCTATTTTATTAACCTTGTGGGGAAACTGTGTTTACAATACATATTCTGACAGACTGTTAACTGCAATGGTATAATGGGTGTCCCACAATACCAAAGAAGCCAAGAGCTTCACAACAGGAAGTAAGCAAACTGAGGTTCATATGCCTTTTTTCCTACTCCTCACAAATCGTAGATACAGGACATGATCAGTTTGAGATCTTGATGTTTGCTGTTCCAACCACCTCAGTACTGAAACAAACAGTTGATAATTCTTTTCCCAACAAGCCTCCAGATAAAAACGTCAGGCAAATTTCTTTAAAGTATTTTTCAAACAAGAAATTTCCAAATGTAATCCCAAGTTACAATAAAATGCGATATTCATTTTTAACTTTTTAAAAATCCAGTCATGATTAATTCCAAAGGCTTGATTACACAATGTCAGATGTTCTGTCAAAAAGTAACTACAGATTAAAATCTACTTATGGGAAATAATCACCAGATGCAATAATTGATCCTCAGCTGGACAGCAGTAATTTAGACAAAGCTGCCACTGTATTTTAGGGCCAACTGAGGCCCAGTAATAGATGAGATGAAAATTTACCAAGCTGGCAGACAAGGGAGAGGAAAAAAAATCTTTATAGAACTGTATGTATAGTATGATCTCATTTTGATTTAAGACTAAATATATAAGCATAGACAGTCATCTACAAAGTGATACAGTGGTGATCAGTGGTGATCTCTGGATAGTAGGAATGTGTTATTATATTTGCTTCTCTGTATTTTCTGATTTCCAACACACATGTAACACCACCTCTGTAATAATACTTTAAGTCACTAAGGGCTCCTAAAAGTCAAAAATCTGTATTTATTAAATGCCTACTATAGACAATTCACATGCAGATCTGCTTTCATTCCAAGTTCTCCAAGTTTTTGGCTAATCTTTCCCCCAAGCCCTGAACTAAGCAACAGTCCCTTTAAAATGTAACATTTCCTTAAACTCCTAAGAGTTTTTTCCTCTCCTCTCATTCTCAAGCACACTTACCATTTTTCAGTTTTCTCCTTACAGCTATTCTTTCAACCTTAGTAACTAATATAAGGCTAAACCGCTCATTATAGGCTACAACCTGTTAAGGGAGGAAGGAGGAACTAATTAGATAGACTTTTTTTTCTCCTTTTAAATGAACATACACCTAGCTTTGTCATAGTTAAAATTTCTGAGGCAGCCCATCCAACTTTTCTTACAAAAAAGCAGCTTCCGATCTTGAGCTTAAGATGGAATCAAGTTCAAGGTCTACAGCCTATCAGGCAACTCCCTTTTGTCTGGCTAGCATAAAAATGAAGGGAGATATGGGGAAAATGAACACATAATTGAAAATTTTACTTGTTGCAGACATCAAAGATGCCAATTCATATACAAATATAAAATACACAAACTTAAGAAAAGCAAAATACTAATCAGGAAGTCATCTAATTTAAAAGGGACATTAAATGAGACCAAAGTATTTGGAATAAAAAAGTAATAAAATTCCGGGTTGCAGATCTTTGTTATTAAGTGTCACCCCTAAAACACCCTCTATCTCTCCCAACATGTATTACCCACTTTACTCCAATTACTGTACCTAAAGTGTTAAATCTGTAAAGTATGGTTATATAGAACTCTTCCTTTACCTAGAAGTTATTAAATCTTGATCAGCTGTGATCTGATCAAAATGCAACTTCCTGTAGTAATCTCTAACCATTGTGGACCACTATTAAACCAGCTTTCAGTGAAATAATTTCCCTGTACCTTAGAACTATAGAAATAGCTCATCAGCTTTGAAAGATAACGAAAGCCTTGAACTACAAGTAACTAAAGAGCAAGGCTTTCTTTCACAGTGGGTTTTCTAAAACGGAAAAATAGTTCACCTAATAAAAATCTTTGGGAAATAAGCTCCTAAGCATTCCTTATTAATGGAAACCTCAGATTTTCTCCCACTTCCCTAAAAATGTTGCTGTCGTGTCATTCAATTGCAGCTATCGTTTTACGAAAAGAAAATTTCAATTCCCTCTTGGACGGACTACACTGAGGACGGCGGACCCTCGCCCCCGCCGAAGCGAGGTGGGGCGCCTGTCTCCTCATTACTAGAAAGCCAGCCACAGCAGCTTTTAAACGGTCTCCGGGTGACGACGCATTCCTAACGGGTTTCGAAGGCACGTTTAAATCGCCCGCTTTTTTGTTTGCTCGCTGCATTCACCGGGCGCCGGGGCTGCAGCCGCCCCCGCGCGCCCGAGAGGGGGAGCCCAGGGTCGGGAAGCCCGGAGCCCGGTGGGTGGGGGGAGGGGTTGGAGTGGGGGAGAACCGGGGCGAGAGGCGGGGGTGGAGGACCCTGGGTCGCCGATCCCGTGTGGGAGGGAGGAGTGCAGGGTGCGCTGTGGGGAAGAAGGCTGGCGAGGAGGGGGGGAAATCCCGGGGTGGGTCGGGGGTGGGGGGAGCCCGGCCACCGCCCCGCACCAGAGAACGCTTCGCACGGCTCCCGCCTCCCGCCAGGGCGTGCGCAGGGCCGCGGCTCAGCGCGGCGCCGCCCCCTCCCTCCCTGCCTGCCTCTCCTCCCTCTCCTCCTCCTCTTCCCGAGGCGACAGAAACAACAGCGCGGAAGGAGGGGAAAGTAACTCCCGGCACCTCCGCCGGAATTAGCCGCGGTGCAGTGATGACACCTTCTCGTGGCGCAACCAAGCCCCGCTCCCTCCGCAGCGGCGTCCCCGCCGCCGCCCTCTCCATTTGAAAGTGGCCACCCCCCGCCGCCGCCGCCGCCGCCGCCGCTCCTCCCGCCCCGCCGCCGCCAGCTGCACCAATCCGCTCGGCCCCAGTTGCAAATCAAACGCTCCCTCGCGTCCAGAAGCCACTTGCGCCGCTGGAAACGGCCGCGCCGTCCCCCTCCCCGAGTCCCTCCCGGGCGGCACCTTTGAGCTGGGGCGGGCGCGCCGGCGAGAAACGGCTGTGAGATGGGAGAGGCGGTGGCGGCGAGCAGCCCCGAGCGGGATCGGCTCCCGCTCTCGCTCCCGCCCCCAGACAGTTCTGGAAACTGTGTATCACCTCTGTCACAGGAAGCCATCCGGCAAGGAAGGCGGCGCGGAACCAACAAACAAACGCCTGCGGCCGCCCGCCGGAATCGGCACGGGGACGGCGACGGGCTTCGGGCCGTTCCCTAGGCGGGGGCGCGGTGGACGCCCCCGCGCCGCAGGCTTTGTGCGGGGCTCCCGCGGCGCGGGCGCGGCGGGCCGGGCGTCCCCGCCCCCGAAGCCCCCCATCCCGGGCCCCGCGGCAGCGCCTCTGGGACCGTTAGGTGACGCTCCCGCCGCGGCCAAGAAAGCAGCACCTCGGCCGCCGCCCGCCCCCATTTCCACATGGAGCAGCCTCTCCTCCAACGCCAGAGGCGGGCTACAAAAGTTGGCCCCGGGGCCACCCAGCACCTGCCCACGTGCCACAGAGGCTCGCTCCCAGGTCTCCCCCGTCCCCTTCCCCCCGCCACCCTCGGCCGCCAGGTCACCTATTACCGGTGGGAGGGGAGAGAGCCTGCTATTTAAACGCCCGCGGAAGTTGAGACACCCCCACTGGCGGGTGCCGTGCACCTGCCTCCCGCCGCCGCGCTCCGCCACTTTGAGCAGCAGCCGCGTCCTCGGCCCCGCCTCCTGCCCGCAGGCGGGCGGGGGGGAGCGGGAAGGAGGTGGAAGGGATCGAATTTCTCCAGCAAATGGGACCGTTCCGACAGGATTCGGTTCCCTGGTCAACATTCCACATTCCATCCCTCTCCCGCATTTGCAAGCCAGCGCCAACAATCCGGAAAGCCTGCTGGCTACCAAACAACAGCCCCCAACTCACAAACACACACTCACAGGCACCAGACACGTGCACTGAAGGGCTTTGCAACTTGCAGTCCCGGGGTACACACTGCACGTTCATTTAAGGCAGGGAAGCCCAAGCGACCCCACCCCCACAATTTGCAGATGGTGCCAAAGGTTGCAATTTGCAATCCGTTTTTAAGTTCATGGTTAATCGGTACTTTGCTCCACGAATGCAACTCCTTCCTAATTTCACCGATGAAGGGTTTTACACTTTACAGACAGTCTCGCTTTAAGTAAGAGATCTGATTATTGGAAACCCAATTTGGAAGAATCTAATTGCCAAGCTGTCCCTACACCCCCTGCTCACTGCCCTTGAATTGATGCAAAGAATATTTTGGACATGTGGTGACGCGGTGACAAGAGCCAGGGCTGCTGCGGCCACCCTACAGAGATGGACCTACACACACAGACACACACACCTATGTTTAGACAAATATAGTCGTCCCCCCGCCACCACGGTCACACACACTCTGGATTCATATATGTACGCGGACCTGCGTTCTGCCATTGCCATCTGTCTACCAAGTGGCTACTATGCTTTCCACTTTCATGCAGCCTAATGCGCTTTGGCTTTTTAAAAAATTGTATCAACTAAAGCCAACTAAACTGGGCTTCTGTTACCAAACGCGTTTAAATGGTGATTCACCTGAAAACCGCATGTTCTTCGCAAATCCGAAAGAAGAAAAAAGCTCTAAGTCTTCAGCCCCCCAAAATTGAAAATTAATCATAATTAAACTTACTGATCCAACACAAATCAATTCTCAGGATCCAAAAATCATCTCCACCTCCTCCTCTGGCCCCCGCCCCAGCAATGACCAAGTTACTGGTGGGATAGTAACGCTGCGCTCGGCGGCTGCCTGCCCTCCCTCCTCGCTACATATCGAGAACCCAATCTTTTGGCGCCATATTAATGACGTACTATATTATTTCCACTAGGCAGCGACCTTCGGCACTAAATTACTCCCGAGAACTCCCGAGCAAAGCAACAAAACCATCAAATATGGCTGAGCCTCTCGGCTCGTCCTGCAGCCGCCGCCGCCGCCACTGCCGCCGCCGCCGCCGCCGCGGTACCGGGACGCGCACACGGACCCACACGCGGACACGCGCGGGCACAGGCGCGGCGCCCCCCCCCCCGCGCGCCCCCCGCGGCCCGCGCGCGTACCTGCTGCGGAAGGGTTCGGCGGAGGCGCTGGGCTCCACGCCGCTCGCGCCGCGCTGCATGAGTTCTGGCCGCGCCGGGCGGGCCCCTGCTCTCGCCAGCGCGCTCACACACGGCACTCGCGCAGGGAGGCACTCTCGGACGGGCGTTTGGCTTGTTATGGAGGAAGGGCTATGTGAATCAAACTCATTTCTGGGTCACTGCTGCCACAGGGGGGAGCACTTTAATCCCTTGCCAAAACGAGAGGGTGGGGACACGAGGGCGGAGGGAGCGCGCGGGGAGTCCGCGGCGCGGGGGGCTCCGTCCCTCGTTAACTCTTCGCGGTCCTCGCCGCAGCCGGCTGGGCCTTCGTCCGCAGGAGCTGGCAAAGAGTGGCACTGTTCAGCTTTTAAAATCTCTTCCCTCACCTCCCTTGTGAGTCTAGAAATTCTTGAGGTGTCTCCAAGCAGGGAGGTAGGCTCTCAGATCACCCTCTTCAAACTGCCCCAGTTCCAACTCTTATCTAATCTCATTGCACCTAGAAATGGACTGTTTCAAGTTAGTTTAAAATTATTTAGATACCAATGTGACTATTAAAAGTGTGTAATCTGGGTGAAAGGTTTTATTTTTAGGCTGAACAGCAAAATAAATAGTTCTTTTGTAGTAACAGTTATAGGGAGTTGAGAATTACAATGACATTTTTAAATACAGAGAATCCAGTTTTGGAGACGGACTGCATCTTTACCCAAGTTTATATCGAACTGATAATTGCAACTGAGGATTAATTCATTAGAAGACAGTGATTATTTGTAAATGGACACCAGCTTTATATTTCACAGGATTACAGAACTGGACATTGCCTTCCAGATAAGAAAATGGCGACGAAAGCTTAACCTGGAATTGCAGACTAACATAAAATTAGTCATCAGAGGTTTATTTGGAGGTTATTTATGTGTAAAAATAACTGACCGATTTTCCACAGAATACAAATTTGCTTATTCATGCGGAGGTCAACATAAAAGAAATGAGTGTGTATATGTCATTTAGCTTCAAAGGAAAAAGACCTTGGTGCAGATAAAAACTCCCATTCAGTAAATGTGAACAGTGGTCACTAATTACAAAATTGGATATTGAACCTAAAGGCATCCTTATCTGCTGGAAGAATTCTTCTAAAGATACCAGGTTTGATTTCACACAATCACACACCAACCTATCCACCTACATCAAGAACACAATAAGAAAAAAAAAAAAAAGAACATAATCTGATAAATGTTGCAAATCAAAACTAATTGAGTCTTTCCATACTTTTTCAGAAAACGAGGAAGCCAAAGGAAATCTCAAGTATTAAGTCTCATATCTTCCTCTCCTGTTTCACTGAGGAAAAATACGGAGACACCCTGTCAGTCTTATTCCATAGGCTCATTTAATCGTATTCAGAGATCACAGACATAAAGCACTATGCTGTGATTATTACTATCACTAGGTCACACGGCAGTTGTTGTTACCTTCCTTGGTTCACCTTACACACACTATCCTGTAGAAGTAAGAGAATACAGGCTTCATAGCCAGACGGACCACATTGGATCTAGCTCTACCAGTTGACCAACTTGTATGGCTGTGGGGTAAAGTATAGAACTTCTTGGACCCTCAATTGCTTCATGAGTAATAAAATGAGGTTAACAACTCCTAACCTAAAGGGTTGTTAAGAGGAATGAGAAAGCTCCATAAAAGTGCCCAGCAGAGGCCCTGGGCAGTTGGAAGTTATCAGTTCCCTGGGTCATTTATTCCATCTCTTTCTTGATCTTCAACCAATTTTTTTGCAACTTTTCTAAATTCCAGCCAGCCTTCCTGCACATATTCTCAAACAAACAAACAAACAAACAACAACAACAACAAAAACTCAAAATGGAACACCTGAGTGGCTCTGTCCTTGGGCATCTGCCCTGGGATCCAGCGTGCATGGGGCTCCCTTGCTCAGCGGGAAGCCTGCTTCTCCCTCTCCCACTCCCCCTGGTTGTGTTCCCTCTCTAGCTGTCTCTCTTTCTTTGTGTCAAATAAATAAATAAAATCTTTAAAAAAAAAAAGATTAACTGATATTAAAAAAATTTCAAACATTTGCTACTTGATGTTTTACTTGTTTTTTCTGACTATCCCATTCCCAAAACACCAGGCAACAAAATGAAAGTGTATTGAATAAGTTGATGAGAAAAATGAAGAGGTAAAATGGCACACAGACTCCCCTAGCTGATAGATTGACCAGGACTGATGGTCCCAAGAATATTCACTCAATAATGCCATGACATCAAAATACTGATGCACTGAGGCAGTGTAATGTGTTATAAATAACCCTGGACTAGAAGTCAGGAGAATCCCACCAACTCACACTGTGACTCTGACAAGGCTTTTGGGTCTTAGTTTCTCCAATGAGATGACTGACAGATGGTATCTGGTGCCTCTTCTTCTTTAACATTCAGTGATTTCTGATTGTTCTTACCTAACTTAGAAAGTGATGATTATTTGAATAAATGAAGGACAACTTGAGTCCTAAGGAACGTGTAAAAACATTTTGTCATTGATGATCAGCAGTTGTCATTTTTTTTTTTTTTTAAAGATCCCATTCATTTATTCTAAGAGATAGAGGGAGCACAAGCAGAGGGAGTGGGAGGCAGAGGGAGAGGGAGAAGCAGGCTCCCCACCAAGCAGGGAGTAGACAAGGGCTTGACCCCAGGACCTTGGGATCATGACCTGAGCCACAGGCAATTGCTTAACCGACTGAGCCACCCAGGCACTCCAACAGCTGACATTTAAAAAATAAGATAGGCATTTTGCCATCAGACCACAAAGGAGAATTTTATACAAGCTATTTTTAAAATAGGAGAGGCAATGACATGGTTTGCCTTGCAGCTGCACAGGTAATACAATGTAGAATAAGAAGTACTAAGGTGGCAATTAGAAATACTACTTTCTCTTCCATTCTGTCACTTAACTGTCTTACCTTGCCCAACCACTCAGGATCACCATCTCCTAATCTTTATTATTGCTATTTTTTTAAAAGACTTTATTTGTTTGACACACAGAGAGAAATCACAAGCAGGCGGGGCAGGGGGGGTGCGGAGCAGGCTCCCTGCTGAGCAGAGAGCCTGACTCGGGACTCAATCCCAGTACCCGAGATCATGACCCGAGCAGAAGGCAGAGGCTCAACCCACTGAACCACCCAGGCGCCCCATCTCCTAGTCTTTAGAACAGTTCTGTTAATTCACACTTTATTGCCAGAGATGAAATGACATTTAAGAAAAGAGCCACAAAGTGATCAGTGTGGTTGAAATAGCAAGATTCTAGTCTTCCAGGGCCTGGGTGACTCAGTTGCTGGGCTTCTGCCTTCGGCTGGGGTCATGATCCCTGGGTCCTGGGAACAAGCCCTGCATTAGGCTCCCTGCTCAGCGGAAAGCCTGCTTCTCCCTTTCCCACTTCCCCTGTTGTGTTCCCTCTCTCACTGAGTCCCTCTCTGTCAAATAAATAAATAAAATCTTAAAAAAAAAAAAAAAAAAGATTCTAGTCTTTCCTGATCTCATCTGGCCTGATCTGACCATGTTTGTAATGAAAGTTATAATTCTATATATCTCTTACATTCTGCTGTAGTCATACACTGTTCAATTATTTTCTTCTGTAATAATGGATTTTTATGAAATAAATATTTGGAACTTTATACTCATATTTCTGATTTTGAAACCATACATGATTAAACCTATGTATGTTTACTTAATCATTTCATTTGTATGTACATCTTTGTAGGTAAAGAATTATAAGGTCTTGATAAGAGATTCAGAATTATTCATAATTAATAGTTGTTTTATGTTTTGTTTTGTTTTTAAATAGGCTCCACATCCGACATGGGGCTTGAACTCATGACCCTGAAATCAAGAGTTGCATGTTCTACCAACTGAGCCAGCCAGGTGCCCACAGAATTGTTCACAATTAAAATGAAGTAAATGCATATGTTGAAACTGCTATATATCTCATTCCTTTAGAGAAATGAACAAAAAATTCTTACTGGCAAATTCTACTGCTAGTTGGTATACATTATGACACATAGAGAGAATTTTTTAATTGCACAAGGGCTATCCTGGATAAAATGGGTTGTGTTCTAGGGGCGCCTGGGTGGCTCAGTGGGTTAAGCCTCTGCCTTCAGCTCAGGTCATGATCCCAGGGCCCTGGGATCGAGCCCCGCATCAGGCTCTCTGCTCTGCAGGGAGCCTGCTTCCTCCTTTGGCTCTGCTTGCTTCTCTACCTACTTGTGATCTCTGTCTGTCAAATAAATAAAATATAAAAAAAAAAATGGGTTGTGTTCTAAAAGTTTATTTGAACTTTACTTGTTTGGAATTTTGAATTTATACCCCAAATAAACCTTATTATAAAGAGGGTTTAGGTTGTTAAGCCATCTTTAAGAAAATAATTTTAGGAGGGCCTGGGTGGCTCAGCTAGTTAAGCAGCTGCCTTCAGCTAAGGCCGTGATCCCAGTGTCCTGGGTTGGAGCCTTGCGTTGGGCTCCTTGCTCAGCGGGGAGTCTGCTTCTCCCTCTCCCTCCGCTCCTCCCCCTGCTTGTGCTCTCTTTGTCTCTCTCTGTCAGATAAATAAATAAAATCTTTAAAAAACAATAGTAATTGGGGTGCCTGGGTGGCTCAGGGGGTTAAAGCC